GTCCAAGGGTGCCAGGACCATTGATTTAGGGATGGGGGTGGGGTTTTAATTGTTGTTGTTGTACTTTTACTCCCATACCATTTCGCTGATAACTGCACACCGCCTCGTGTAATCTCGGCCGATCTAAGGCCGTTCTCCATACTTTTGCAAGTTCTACCCCCTCAGGGCAAGATGGCCCAAGTGGTCAGAACCCGAAGTTGCTGACCGGAAGGTTCATGGTTCGAACACGACCTCTACCTCTGAACGTCCTCTGTCTAGGCTTGGGCAACCTGGGAGAATCCCAGCCCTCATGCTTCCTTCAACTGGCATAGCAGTTAGACACCGAAAGGGTGCTACAGCTTAACGAACGAACTCTACCCCCTCTATTCTGTTCACACTGGGATGCTTGGCGATTTCCACCGCCTCGGTCACCAGTCGCTGTGGTGTGAATCTTAAACCCCGTCTCAGGATGTCCACATTTCCAGCCCAGTGTCCAGTGCATGCCCTACCATTGGAGAATCTTTGAATACCGTTTGATATTCATCTATTTTTCTCGGTGGTCTGTTAATGGATAGCTTATGCTCACCGATTCTGGTGTGCAATTCCCTGGCTGTCTGACCTATATAAACCTTCGTACTGTCGTTACATTTTACTCTGTATATACAGTTCATAGTCTTATCAACCGGAAGGCGATCCTTCAACTGCACTAGTGCAGAGCGTAGTCATTCCCTCCTAGAACGCTGGCTAACATTAGTTAGCCATATTCAGTACCCTTTTAGTAACTTCAGATGTCCCTGTTTTGTATGGAATGACCGCTGTTCCGACCGATTCCTTGTTGGTGTTGGCACCAATACCCGTCTTAGTTGTCGCTTAATTAAGCCCGCTGGATATCCGCTATCTTGAAGTAGCTTTTTTAACCTCAAGTTGTGCTGCTCTTCGGTCGACCTCCTCTGTACACAGTGCTCTCACTCAACTCAACGCCGCTGAAACTGTGCTAGCATATACTGCTTTTGGATGTGCAGAGGAGTAGTTTAAGACCGCAACGCTATCTGATGATTTCCGGTAAACAGTGGTTTTTAATTTTCCATCACACTTGTATGGCATGCAGTCAAGGAAAATGAGTGTAATCTTGACAAACACAGGTGAACGGAATCTGTAGACGGCCGCAAGACAAATTTTCCAGCAAGGTGTCCTAGACTGAAAAAGCAAGGACGAAAAATCCGGGTTCATCATGGAGACAAATCCTTCCCCCCCCCTAACCAATCTATCGTAATGTCAGTCATCCCCACTAACCAACAAACAGGAACATCAAACTGAAAACCCAGTACTGATCAAGTCTGCTGGTTTTTTGCCTGTCAGAGACCAGCTCTCAAGATCCCTGTTCAAAATTCTCGTCAGTTGCACGTTACATCTTGAACGCAAGGCACTCAGCTACGTTACGCAACGAACCAATCATTGGTTTGTATTAGTCTTTTGGGTGGTTTCTTCATTAATTGGTGTTCTGCATAGATGGGAGACGGAAGCAGTATCACCGCTAAGCAAACCGTTATTCAAGCTACCGGTCAGTCAAATCGGAGCATCTACAAACTGCACGTTCAATCACACCATTTTCACGCCAAAACGTTCTGGTATTTTTAGAAATACGTCTACTTTAAATTTCTGGTTGACTCGATTGGGATTACGACAAGGGTCTGACGGTGAACCAGGCGCGTTCATCGAAAACTGTTTCTAGAATCCGTTAGGCCGATTCACTGATTACTACTTGGCATTGGATTGCTATGCGTTCCAACGAGTTTGCAGGACGCAGTACAAGCCACAAAGCGATTGCCAACTTTCCGATAGGCATATGAAGTAGATTTCAATGGGAGACTCAACTGAATTCAGCCGAGTCTGCCCCTTATAATGGTCTCGAACTGTCCGTCGACAATTTACTTACTCGTGACCGGAAAGTCTGAAACCCGGGCCACTTGAAACGAGCAAGGCTCCCAATTGAACTACGCTAATAAAACGGCTCATTATAGCCTCTAAAATACTAACTCATTACTTCAGTCATCAAAAGGAAACATTCTTCTCGAGAAATACATGCAAATCAAAGCGGTTTTCACGGGAGACTCAGTTGAATCTCTCGTTTATGTTGTCCTCCAGCTGAATGTGCTGCACAAAGGCCGCCTCATGTCTCAGCTGGCACGATATTCGAGATATCGAAGTGTGTTTTCATGAAGTTTTTTTAAGCACGAGTTCTTCAAATCATCTTTTATATGTTTCGACGACCGGTTTCGCCCCTCTTGGAGCTCATAATAAACGAGAGATTCAGCTGAATCTGTAAAGAAAATCAAGTAGATTTGCGAGTGAGTGTATTTCTCGAAAACTGTCCACTTTGGTTTCAGGTAGAACATAAGGTTGACGGTGGAAACTCGGGGATGCTGATCAGACGGAGGCAACCTCAGTGACGTGAACAAAAACTGCTCACCCCAGCTGTATCCAGCAACTCTTCCTTTAGAAATGTTTAGACCATTTCCGTCTTCAATCTGCTTGTCTTAGTATCGCAGTTAAAGGTATGGGAATCACGACAGACCACAGCATAACTTTTTGTTGTAAATGTGACTACTGTTGGGTCTCCGAAAGTAGTGCAGAAAATACATCAAATGTTAAACAGTGAATTTTCTGATAGCAGTCCCACTAAATCACTAGTTTGGCGTGTACCTAGCTGCATCTCTTGTTTATGACGTTCCTCCAGGAACTTCGTTTTACGGGTCGGTTGATTTTAATTTGAGCTTTAAGCTGATGTTTGGACAGTGGTCATTCTGTGTGCCGGAAGTTACTGAGACTACCCATTATTCTCACTTTCTTCCGGTCCTTTTCACCTCGGATCATCCAACTTCCAACAACCAACCAATCAAACTGTGGATGCTAATGGAAGCTACTTTGAAGAACATGAGGCGGCCAGTGCGCAGCACATTTAATTGTAGAATATCATAAACGAGAGATTCAGTTGAGTCTCTTGTGAAAACCAAATTGATTTGCAAATGAGTGTATTTCTCGAAAACAGTGCAATTTGGGGTCAAGTAGAACATATAGTCGACCGAAACTCGGGGACTGCGCCTATCTGATGAGCCTGAATTGGAAGGGCGAAACCGATCGTGGGCTGTCAAAGGGATTTCAGCAACCTTGTGAGTAGTTTCCTTTATGAAAATATACCGCGATATCTCGAATATCGTGCCAACTGAAACATGAGGCGGCCAGTGCGCAGCACATTTAATTGTAGAATATCATAAACGAGAGATTCAGTTGAGTCTCTTGTGAAAACCAAATTGATTTGCAAATGAGTGTATTTCTTGAGTGCTAGCATCGTTTTGGTAACAAATGATAGTCATTCGCCTCTGTCAAAAGCGTGTATCGAGTATAAAAATGCTGTTACGTGGTGTCAGTCTTCATTTCTTCATGAAGTGCGTCTTTGAGGACAACTCCAATTTTAGGCGCCACCATCATCAGCCACATTGGAATATCATTGATGGGTTTGCCTGGATGTTCGAACAGTCACCGTCGCTCGTTAAAGGATGGTGATGCTCAGGAGCTTATCTCATTCTGAATGTCGTTTAACCAATCTTGATGAAGTGAAACTTAATGCTTGTTTTCAAATTGAGTTGGTTTTAGCCAAAGCCTGGAACTGATCCCACCCGAAGCTCTCATTTGTGATATTCATCAATCATATGTGCTACACAAAGGCCGCCTCGTCTTTCAGTTGATGCAGATATCGCAAAGTAAGTTGATCCTATCCGATAGTGGGCTGCTGAATAGTTCACCCTTATCGTATTGGTCACGTTATGTCAAGTGTTGCTGAACGTTTCTTGAGGATGGAGGAACTGGAAAAGTAAGAACCTTCACAAACAATCCGTTAAAAACAACTGTAGTCCATCCGTGTCGAAAAGTCAGGAGGGACTTTACAGTTATATTTGAAATGCACTACTTATAAGGTTGCTGAAAATTCGTCGACAGCCCACAACCGGTTTCGCCCTCCAAGTTCGGGCTCATCAGGTAAGCGCAGTCCCCGAGTTTCCGTCAACCTTATGCTCTACATGAAACCAAATTGCACGAAATCAGCGAATATACACTCATTTGCAAACTGATTTGGTTTTTCGAGAGACTCACCCTGAACTAAGCTGAATCTTTCGGTTTGATGTTTCCAGGCAACTGAATGTGCTGGACCAGGTTGCCTCATGTTTCGAAATATCGCGATACCTGTATACTTGTGATGCACTACTCACAGCGACTGAAACCTGAGGCGGTCTGGTGCAGCAAATTCAGTTGCCTGGAAACATCACAAACAAGATATTCAGCTGAACTCTACAGTTGTTCCACGCCTGTTCGAACATATCATATATATCATATCATCATATACATATCATATATCATAGGAACCTCTGCTAAGGGTGAAAACAGCTCATTGATGTGAATAACTTCCGGTTGAGTAGACAGCACAATGTGTCACTCAGTGATGACGTTCACACCAGGTGACTTGGGGTTGGAAGTTTCGAACTGATAATCATGTTGTAAGCTTCACTGACCGAGGTGTCAAACAGCGGTTAGGTGGTTATGATCGACCTTGATGGAGAAATCTACCGGATAAGTTTATTGGGCTTCTATCCTGACATATTTTCGACCTTTAAAGAGATGACTTTATCAAAAACACGTGATTTTGTCTCTAGATGACTGTCAGTATGCAACATACTCTTCGGAACTCGATGAGACGAGATTAAGTTACCCTCGTGATTAACGCGGTTCAGCCTATGTGCTTCTGAGAGTTGTTTGTTCTTCAAAACTTCACTTTCTGTGGACCTCTTTCGGCCTTTTGGCGTTCAGAATGCTGGTCGTGCAAAAATGCGCAAAAAGGTGTCGTGGGTAAACATGAGGTGACAATCAAGTAGTTGGTCAGGTGGTCAAGTTTTGTTCTCGACAACCGTGACCAGTAGTACAAGGTGACTGAAGTTTTTTCATCTCAAACAAGACTCGGTATTAATTGATGACTGAAAGACCTGTAGTTGAGTTACCAGAGGGAGTGAAAAAACAAATGGATGGCTTTCGGACCAAAGACTCCAGTTTGAAAAGCAATTTACAAATCACAACCATTCAAGCTTGAAAGAAATCATGTCAGTTGAAAAATTTCCACGGCAGTCTTGAACAAGCTTACAAGTCAGTGGGAGATAAATGTATCGAAATATGTTACCCCACACCCAACAAATCAGTTGGCAGCTCAGTTGGTCATATCCGATTGGTTTGACTTTACCACATCCATTGCATGCTCGCAGTAAATGGGGTTTTCCAGTTCCAGAGGAGTAGTCTGGGAAAAACAGGGGAAAAAATTGCAGTAACTTGTTTTAATTCCTGACTCCAATTCATCATTGACAGCATGACATCGGTGTTCAATACCGATGCTTCGCTGCCGTACAACCACGAGTTATTTGAAAGCCTTATTGGGAAGAAGAGAATAAAGGTGGGCGGGGGAAAGGACTTGGTGCAGGTCTATCAAAATCATTCCCGACACCGATTGACAGCTTATCCAACCATACAAAAGATGGTTCCACAAGCGCAATACACGGCATGCGCTAAGCTTGCTCAATTATGTATTCGTTCTCCTCTTCGAGCAGGAGGAGAAGGCGCAGAGGTTATTGGACGGAACGACCAAAGTCTTACAATCTTTTGGAATGCGCTTTGCAACCCCAAAGTGTGAGATCATGCCTCTGGGCACACAGTCACTGAACACGGCGCTAACAACCCACACTCGCAGTAGTTGGACATTTTACGCTCGTTGGAAGTTGTATCAGCTCTGAGTATGGTGTGACAGTTGAGGTCAACACACGAATCTGCAAAACTCGGGTGACACTTGCTAAGTTGAGATATGTATGGTGTCAGAGTGGCATATTCCTGATTCGCAAGGGTGGTGTGCATCAGGCTACAACATCTGGAGCCATTTTGCTGTACGGCTGTGAAACTTGGGCTGTTCGGAACTGAGACGTCTTCAGGTATTCGAGAAGCGAAGTCTCAGAACCATAGGTCGAATTAGGAACGAGGCAAAGCGAACTTTCAGTGAAAAAACGTGTCCATCACCAGAAACTGCGCTGGTTAAGCCATTTATTGCGCCTTCGGGACCATCTTTTGCCGACGAGTGCGTTGTTTTATGTGCTCACTTCGGAATTATGCAAGAGAACAAGTAATATATAGAGCAAAACACGTTAAACTCATGAGTTTGCTGATGTACACAGCAACATCGGTGTTGTTTGTTTACACTGTCTTTATGTGTTTCTCAATAAAGAAACAGATGAACTTAGCTCGTGTTCAACTTCGAATGTACATGGCAAAGTATTCCAACGACTGATCTGAAAGCCTCGAACCGAATTTGGAAGATCATATTGCCGATGACTTAGATTGCCTCCTACCCCTGCAATGCCCGCAGTAATTTCGAATATGTGAATTCCTCGCTTTTCTGAAGCTCACGGTCTCTCATCTGTCCAGACGGTCTATCCACCGTACGCTTGGTGGCACACACAAGATCAGGTGTGTGACAGACCTACGGGCGGATCCATGAAACGGGCCCTCCAACTGCTGGAGCACGAAGACCTTGGCTGGAAAACGTTTCCCTCGGAACCATCGTCAAGATCAAGTTGGATAAATTAATTGCTTCGTCATCCAGGTCCACAGCTGAAGGATTTTCCGTGGTCTTCCGCGAGAGGGGAGAAAACGTTCTGAGGCCCATTGCGGCCCGATTCAAAACACTAACAACAACAGGTGAGAACTGCAGCCTAGAAGTGGATGACTTACCAAGCTTAGAAATCATCGTCAAAGAGTTCGACTTGCATAGACGTTGACTTCAGCTTGTTTTACGCGAAATATTTTAAATAGTGCCTCGGGTACATATCATTCCATGCATATTGCCTCACGAATTCGGCGTTAGCAAACACCCGCAGTGCAAGCTGTTTAGCTTGTCAAGTGTGCAAGTGTAGAGATACATCCGCGAAAATTTGAACATTTATACCCCGAAGTTGCCAGAGGTAGGGCATCTGAAGCTATCGGGAACCATCTTCAGGTCAATTTAGAGAATGAATGCTCTTTGAACTCGCAACCACCCATCCCTTTCATCTAGTCAAGCAGCCCATCAAGAGAAAGACTGTCCAACGAAGCGCCGCTGGGAACCTGTCTACATGCAATACTTTGTTTTATCACTACTGAAATAAATACAAGTAGTAAAGCTCTGCTCGAGAATCTAGTTCACACGGAAAGTAAGGGATAGATTAGGGCGTGATACTCACCGGACCAAGACCTGGATATGCATAAATGGTGTCCTTGGCATCATCTTTTAGGTCGGGTGATTTTGAAGGATCACCATCACCGCTGCTGTGGACAAACGAAAGAAATGGAGCAGTTTCTGGTTTGGAAGGCAAGACTGGCTGTGGGTGGATACAAAATAAGGGTGAAAAATCCCAGCTACGCAAACACTCTACCGGGGTAGACGGGCAGGCGGGCCGTCGATAGCAAAAAACTAGCAGTATTGCCGTACGTCATGTTTTAAAATCCCCTTGTGTAGTAACGGTAGTTTCCTCAGCTTAGTTCTCGGTCTGTGCCTCCCAAGCTAGCGTTCACGTCAAAACAAACACCAAAAGTGCAAAAGGTCTATTAACGCCCAAAACGAAATCAGGAGCAGTTGTACAGCGCTTCGTATATATAGCGTAAGCGGCTATAACTTTCTGGAATTTCTGACGCGTTCTGGAGCTCCATTGGCAACCGGCATTTGGTCAATACTGGGTCATGATTGGCTGTTGGGTCCATATTGTTGACCAATCAGATCTCGTCTTGATGCCGGACCGGCAAGCGTCCCGAATTTTGGGCGAACCTCGAGCGGGCCAGGCTTCTCGGCCGTAGCAGCGCCTAAAGACGTGCGGTATAGTGGGATCCGCGTGGATTCCTGCCTAACACCTTGCTCGTCTAGTAACCTGAGTTCGAAGTAGATATAATCACCAAGCGTGTTCCCTTTTCACCACTGAATTCCAACCAATTGGGATGTCACCTAGATGGAGTAGATCCGTTCCACAGTACAATACATATGCTTTTCTTAACATCCAACGGACCACGGTCGCAAACACTCTATTCTTCACTTTAATGAGGATATATCGGTGCGGAATGGACATTTCTACACACCGCGTCCATCAATCAATTTCAAAAGAGTTTGTATTTTTACAGAGACGCCCAAAATCAGGTTATTCGAAGTTTGCTTCTTGATTATCAGGAGCTTGAACGTGGGAATTAAACTTTCAGGAATATGGATATATAATAAGACCTGTGTATAGTTCTCTCTTAACTTTTAACAATGAAAAGAGGAGAAAGATTCTCTTCCACACCAGTTTGTGCGCTTGACAGCTAGTTCACCTCACCTTCCTGGAAGCCTTCACTCGCCGCAACCGGTTGAGTTAAAGCATACTAAGTAAGTATTCAAGCTACTCAACACTAGCCATCCAGCGATACTTTTGAAAAAGGCCGTACTAACATTGAAGAACACGCAGTGGAACATAAGTTGTCTCAAATTTGTGTAAAATTGTAAAGCAGACGACTATCAAGAAGGACTTTCATAATCCCGGTTTTCAATTTGTCTGTGAACACAGCACCGTCTCTACAAGCAAAAACCCGCAGCGGATACAAATTTCCTACTGAAGATAGGTTCTTTTGACTGCAGGAAGAAACGAGAAGCAATTCCAAGTCCGGTGGAAGAAAACTTCAGTACCTTTAAACCTCCTCAATGACAGGACGAGATGGAATTAATCACTTTAGTTGCTGTGTATGCTTGCAACTTCAGTGACCTTGCAAACGCAAACCTGAGACATACCTGTGCATCTGGTTTAAAGCTTGTCCTTGAAGCCTGCACTTGGAGCCGAATGACTCAAACAGGACTGAATCCAGGTTAATCTCTTTTACGACGGTGTACTCCAACTGAGTGTGCTGCACCAGGCAGCCTCATGTTTGACTTGATACTATACTCTAGAAATGCCATCTCCTTGCTTCCTCTTGTTTGCCAAGGGTAGGTTCATCCTTTCATCATCATCCACAGCATGACATCAGTGTGCAACACCGACGCTTCACTGCCGTACAACCACAATTTGGTTGAAAGCCTTATTGTGAAGAAGAGAATAAAGGTGGACGGAAGAAGGACTTATGCTAGCTTAGCACAATCATTCCGAGGTGCCTACACCTCCACACATTCACTCAGGCAATCTGGATAGAAACTGACAACAAGAACGCCACTGACATCGATTGGCAGCCATAGCTTGTAGTGTCTCCAACCAGGCACAGTGAGGATCACGTGGTCCCCATCCTGAAAGCCGAGTAGCACCGGCAGCACCCAAGCTTTTCGTGTTACTTTACTCGAGATGACTTCGACAACACACGACTTATTTCGCCCTTTTTTAGGCTCATCAGACGGGCGCCGTCCCCGAGTTTCCGCCAACTTAAATCCAAATTGGACGGAGTTCAACAATTACTCTAACTTTGACTCAACTGAATCAGTCTGAATCTCTGATTCATTTTTCATAAAGAGACACGGGAGGAATTTGTTCACAACAGATTCACGCTTTTGTCCCGATCTATTCACATAAAACCCGACTGCACGGGGTCAGTGTGTCTCACCTTTTTAAGTAATGCTTCGTTCATAGCAAGTGCAATTTAATTGAAGTTTTAACATAGTGAGCTTACAAAATCTTTCCTGGTGAATGCTGCTAGCCATAGTTTACCTGGTGAGAAAAACGGATCACCTACTGTTTAGCTAATCACCTTTAAAATAGCCTAGCATAGACTCACATTCATCAGCCCACTACTGATGGCCTGTTATTGCCTCAAAGTCAACTCTCGGCCGCCTGTATGTGTAACGATCGATTCCAGAGCTTTTGTTCAACGCGACATGCCGAACGAACGACCGAACACATACTAAAGATGACCAGATGGCATCTTCAGCATGACTGAAAATCGAAGGTGCCGCTCTCTAACATTTGTTTGTTTCAAATCACTGTGTCGAAGTGGATATTACGCACTGCTTAGGTCGTTTATGTCTGACCTTACAACTTCGAATTGCGTGAGTAGAAGCAACTTGTCCGAAGCCCATTGATGCCCTCTGCTTGAGTCTGATCGGGGATCTGCTCAAGATTTCGTCGCTGCTGCCTTAAATGCCTGCTTCTGGACGAAAGGAGGTTAGCAGCGCCTAAAGACGTGCGGTATAGTGGGATCCGCGTGGATTCCTGCCTAACACCTTGCTCGTCTAGTAACCTGAGTTCGAAGTAGATATAATCACCAAGCGTGTTCCCTTTTCACCACTGAATTCCAACCAATTGGGATGTCACCTAGATGGAGTAGATCCGTTCCACAGTACAATACATATGCTTTTCTTAACATCCAACGGACCACGGTCGCAAACACTCTATTCTTCACTTTAATGAGGATATATCGGTGCGGAATGGACATTTCTACACACCGCGTCCATCAATCGATTTCAAAAGAGTTTGTATTTTTACAGAGACGCCCAAAATCAGGTTATTCGAAGTTTGCTTCTTGATTATCAGGAGCTTGAACGTGGGAATTAAACTTTCAGGAATATGGATATATAATAAGACCTGTGTATAGTTCTCTCTTAACTTTTAACAATGAAAAGAGGAGAAAGATTCTCTTCCACACCAGTTTGTGCGCTTGACAGCTAGTTCACCTCACCTTCCTGGAAGCCTTCACTCGCCGCAACCGGTTGAGTTAAAGCATACTAAGTAAGTATTGAAGCTACTCAACACTAGCCATCCAGCGATACTTTTGAAAAAGGCCGTACTAACATTGAAGAACACGCAGTGGAACATAAGTTGTCTCAAATTTGTGTAAAATTGTAAAGCAGACGACTATCAAGAAGGACTTTCATAATCCCGGTTTTCAATTTGTCTGTGAACACAGCACCGTCTCTACAAGCAAAAACCCGCAGCGGATACAAATTTCCTACTGAAGATAGGTTCTTTTGACTGCAGGAAGAAACGAGAAGCAATTCCAAGTCCGGTGGAAGAAAACTTCAGTACCTTTAAACCTCCTCAATGACAGGACGAGATGGAATTAATCACTTTAGTTGCTGTGTATGCTTGCAACTTCAGTGACCTTGCAAACGCAAACCTGAGACATACCTGTGCATCTGGTTTAAAGCTTGTCCTTGAAGCCTGCACTTGGAGCCGAATGACTCAAACAGGACTGAATCCAGGTTAATCTCTTTTACGACGGTGTACTCCAACTGAGTGTGCTGCACCAGGCAGCCTCATGTTTGACTTGATACTATACTCTAGAAATGCCATCTCCTTGCTTCCTCTTGTTTGCCAAGGGTAGGTTCATCCTTTCATCATCATCCACAGCATGACATCAGTGTGCAACACCGACGCTTCACTGCCGTACAACCACAATTTGGTTGAAAGCCTTATTGTGAAGAAGAGAATAAAGGTGGACGGAAGAAGGACTTATGCTAGCTTAGCACAATCATTCCGAGGTGCCTACACCTCCACACATTCACTCAGGCAATCTGGATAGAAACTGACAACAAGAACGCCACTGACATCGATTGGCAGCCATAGCTTGTAGTGTCTCCAACCAGGCACAGTGAGGATCACGTGGTCCCCATCCTGAAAGCCGAGTAGCACCGGCAGCACCCAAGCTTTTCGTGTTACTTTACTCGAGATGACTTCGACAACACACGACTTATTTCGCCCTTTTTTAGGCTCATCAGACGGGCGCCGTCCCCGAGTTTCCGCCAACTTAAATCCAAATTGGACGGAGTTCAACAATTACTCTAACTTTGACTCAACTGAATCAGTCTGAATCTCTGATTCATTTTTCATAAAGAGACACGGGAGGAATTTGTTCACAACAGATTCACGCTTTTGTCCCGATCTATTCACATAAAACCCGACTGCACGGGGTCAGTGTGTCTCACCTTTTTAAGTAATGCTTCGTTCATAGCAAGTGCAATTTAATTGAAGTTTTAACATAGTGAGCTTACAAAATCTTTCCTGGTGAATGCTGCTAGCCATAGTTTACCTGGTGAGAAAAACGGATCACCTACTGTTTAGCTAATCACCTTTAAAATAGCCTAGCATAGACTCACATTCATCAGCCCACTACTGATGGCCTGTTATTGCCTCAAAGTCAACTCTCGGCCGCCTGTATGTGTAACGATCGATTCCAGAGCTTTTGTTCAACGCGACATGCCGAACGAACGACCGAACACATACTAAAGATGACCAGATGGCATCTTCAGCATGACTGAAAATCGAAGGTGCCGCTCTCTAACATTTGTTTGTTTCAAATCACTGTGTCGAAGTGGATATTACGCACTGCTTAGGTCGTTTATGTCTGACCTTACAACTTCGAATTGCGTGAGTAGAAGCAACTTGTCCGAAGCCCATTGATGCCCTCTGCTTGAGTCTGATCGGGGATCTGCTCAAGATTTCGTCGCTGCTGCCTTAAATGCCTGCTTCTGGACGAAAGGAGGTTTGACTTTCATCTTTTGTTCTTTTGAGACGTATTCCAGACAACCAGGAACTGTGAATACAGGCAACAGTTTACTTGGTAAAACAAACTTACAGTGTACGGGAGAGCATCTGTCTTTTCTGATACTCGAAATGGTAGCGCTGCGCAGAGGTGGCCAATTTGGAGTCATCGACGGTGTGAGCTCCGTTCATGGTTTGGTTCATCTGAAACGATTCTTCTTGGTTTTTGGCAGGTCTGTATGGGAAATGACTTGTGGTTTAGCAGTGCGCCGAATGTCGAAGTAGGGAAAAATTCAAGCAACAATGGACAGTGACGAGGAAAGCTAACTACGCCTGCCGATGTTTTCTGAAAGCGTGCAAAGCTCATAACTGTAATGCTGTTCGCCTTATGCAGTGAGAGACTATTGTATGGTAATCTAATAGCTGAACCGTGTATGCGATACAAATAACAGTTAAAGGAATCTTGAGCTCAACTCAATACTACTCAGAAGGTTGACAGCTAAGACCCGTTTTCGCTCGTCCCGGGCCTTCTTCGGCCAGGCTCCATTCCTTGTCAAATTTATTTGCTACTTTCATACCAAGTTTCACCGTTTAAGAGATGGCTCAGGTGGTTAGAGCGCGAATTTACTGACCGGAAGGTTCGTGGTTCGAACCCGACCTCTGCCTCTCGACTTCCCCTGTCTAGGCTTGGGCAAAGTGGCAGTATCCCAGCTCTCGTGCTTCCATCGGGTGGCATGGCAGCTAGGCACCGGAAGGGTGTTACAGCTGAATGATTTTTTTATCGTTTAAAGGTGTTCACTTTTATTTTCTGAGGCTTGTTACGTTCTGGGAAAAGTTGGGTGACAATCGGTTGCCGGGCAACGTTTCGCTTTTGACACAAAAGCTTCGTCACGCCAAGTGACTATATTCCAAGTTTGGTCGAGAGACAATAGTGTCTACAGAGCAGGGAGCCACAGAGAGTCTATGCAAAGCTGTGGACAGACTCTTGGCTTCTGTGTAAGCTCGAGGGAATAAAGTTGGCGAGTGTACTAGCGGAAGCGGCATGTTTTCGTATATATATATATATAAACGGTGGGTGGACATCACTGTATTATGCGAAGGGGTGAGACGAGACGTAAAGGAATTGATGGATGGTGCCAGCATCTTAATGTTGTTCGAGGTGGGGCTAGCACCCGCTGTAATGCCATCAGGCTAACGCCAGTTGATGAAAATGTGCAGACTTCCAGTCGCCCAAGCAGTGTCGACTGGCTAATCCATATCGGATGCTAGCCAACAATAGATCTGTGCAACTTATTGATTTTGGTCTATTGTTAGTCTGGTTTGAATGCACGCAGTGTGGCGCTTCCGATTATTTGCTGCTCTTGTATTGGTTGACACCCTATCTGTCTACCGTAGTCACAACGTTTGTATCAACGCAATGGGTAGTAGTATCCGAACATACAATATCCGTTCGGAATCGGCCTTTGATCAGTTTGGTGTTGGTCTGTGTGCCAAGCTTCACAACTGTCTTGCGAACGCATCATTACCATACGAACAGACGATGAGACGATGATGAAGCCAATTCGCAAACAGATCAACTGCCACCTGATCAACAGCCAATCAAATCACCCGACCAATCATAATTTGAACCTTATGCCCTGGATATGGGGACATAAGCTAACCTGAAACGACAGCCTATTGCCTACGAAACAGAAGAATCTGACGGAACACCCCCCCCCCCACAGATTTGAAATCATTTCCTGGTTCCACCCAAAGCAGCAACGTTATTCACTCGCGATTCAGTGACAGATTTATTCGTCCCATCTCCAAATACGCATCCAAGATTGCAAGGAAATACCACATCTAGGCAGTAGCGTCCTAGTATTGGCTGACTACGTAAAACGAGTGGAACATTTCACGTCGTTTTCTGTTCTCATTCAACGCACAGTCAGAGGAACCGGGTTTAATAATATTCTTAATCTTGGTGTGTTGCCTTAGTTTGTCCAACCCCATGCGGTTGTCGGATTCAGGGCTGATGCAGGTTTATGTACCTGATGAGCCCCAAGAAGAACGAAACTGGTAGTAAGGTGTCGAATTGTTTCCAACACCCCTACAAACGGTGCATTGCTTCAAGGCATTCACGCTGTTCACAAGCTCATTACAGACTACTTAAGTGAAGGTTGGAGCAAGTCCATTCACCTACAAGACGTGAAAAGTTATCACGGAATGTTTTAAAGGATACTTTCAGAACCTGTTTGGAAGTTCTTTCGGAAGGTCAGCCTGAGCATGATTCCTTTGGACTGTCCCATCAACAGGCACTAAACTTCGGCAAGCGAATCTGACGGGCATTGCTTGTCATGTAGACTATCGCCTGTGGAATAATCCAGTTGAATTTGATCGCGGTGCCCTCTTGCGAAAAAAGTAAATGTTTGGCTGCGCAATGGTATAAAGGGCACCAAAGTCACATGTTGTCTGGTATGGTGAGACGGTGGTGTATCCTTAGTGGAATAGGCAACCAGTCCCCTGTACAAACAGTGTCCTACGTATCTACAACAGTGACTGGGGGCTTCCGGGCAAACAGTGCGGTAGACTAATGCACATGACAGACAGCTTTCTGAAGGGAATGCTTTCTGGTAAACTTTTCTCTTGAATGTATTCAACACCCTCCCAAGAATGAATTAACTGGGCCATGCAGTAGTCAAAGTGAGGTTACAAACCAGAGTTGAGTGGTTATTCCGTTTTGCTCTGATCCGACGCATCCTGGAAGCCTGTGTGCGTTTGCTCTGGACTTGCCCCATTTACGGTTCAAAGTTACACTAGTTCATGGCAGTTATATATCCTTGGCGGAACATACTACTCATAAGGTTGCTGAAAACTCCTCGATAGCTTACAACCGGTTTCACTCTTCTTGGGTCTAATCAAGTGGATGGGATGCTTGAGCGTCTGTCAACCTTATGTTTTACTTGAAAAACAAATTGTATGAAACTGGCAAAAAAACAGTAGTTTTTAAATGGACGATGTATGAACACCGTACTAATCGAAAGAGGGAGCTTATAGTTTCCAGTCATTCCAAAATTAAGCAAAAATACGCACTTTATTTTTTCCAAAAATAATATGTTTTCATAAAGGGAACTACTCACAAGGTTGCTGAAAACCCTTCGACAGCTCATGACCGGTTTCGCCCTTCCACTTTGGGCGCAGTCCCCGAGTTTCCGTCAACTGTACGTTCTACTTGAACCCAAATTGAACTGTTTTCGAGAAATACACTCATTTGCAAATCAATTTGGTTTTCACGAGAGACTCATAAACGAGAGATTCAGTTGGGTCTCTCGTGAAAACCAAATTGATTTGCAAATGAGTGTATTTCTCGAAAACAGTTCAATTTGGGTTCAAGTAGAACGTACAGTTGACGGAAACTCGGGGACTGCGCCCAAAGTGGAAGGGCGAAACCGGTCATGAGCTGTCGAAGGGTTTTCAGCAACCTTGTGAGTAGTTCCCTTTATGAAAACATATTATTTTTTTGTTCCGTGTTTTACATCGTTGAACCGACTGGAATATGGGACTTTGAATCCCGTGTAACCAATTAGTTTGAGAGTTGTTGCCATCAGCCCTACCGAAATATGTTTTTGTGCAGCATACTTTTATGCAAACAAATTCACAGGATAGCCAAATGTGGGATATACATCCGACACTGAAAACCAGCCTGCAAGTACTTACCTAGTCACACGGTAGAGCCAGAGGGTGCAGAAAATGAACACAGCGAGCAGTGTGGCCCCCAGGATGCAGCCTGTGAATAGAAGTTGTCTAACAGTGTAAGTGTTGCGATGAAATGCGGATCAATGTGTCTCACAAGTGAAATCAACCAAAGATGAATGAATATCTGAGAAGCACTTTGCAGCTGTTTCGTCTTTGTTGGGAATCACCGGCAGTTGGTCCATCAAAAATATCCTTCGACTGTTTGGTCGGTGATTGAACACTAAACTGCAATTTGATTTCAAGTAGTACATAAGGTAGGCGAAAAACTCGGGGACTGCGCCTATCTGATGAGCCCCAAGAAGGGCGAAACTGGTCGTGGGCTCTCGAAGAACTTTCAGCAACCTTGTGAGTAGTGTATTACAAAATGAACACTATACTGTTTGGCCACCAGTTGCTAACTGACAGTGTGAATAACTTGCCCTCGACGAGCGACTAGCACCACTCATCTTTCACTCACCCAGTTCACAACACGCGGTCACGTGCGTGTTGCTTAGTTCAAATGAAGGTCTCATCATCATCAGAGACAGCGACATCAATGTTAACACTAATCCTTCACCGCCATAGATCCACAAAGTTTATCTGAGAAGAGTAAAGAGTGAGCAAGGGGGAAGGGGACCTGGTGATTGCCTATCTGAGTTACCTACACCTCTAAGCGATCGATGAGACAGTCTGGAAAGAAATCCATAGCACGAGAGCCACTGATATCGATCAGCGGCCGTTGTTTGCAACTCCTTTAATTAAGCGTAGTAGGGGTCACGGGTCCGCCCATTCTGGAATGCGGACCACATCATTACACCATCATCGGCATCACTGAGAGCACAACACAAGTGTTGAACACAAATTCTCCGCTGCCCTAAATCGGACGTTAGTACTACATAAAAAGACTGCGGTCAGCACACAGCTGAAGCACTCGTTCTCCACTGTTCGTGTGGACCGAGTCCAGCCAACATCAACCAGCTAACTGGGTCTCAGATGCGCATTCAGATCTCTGGCAACGCCACCGACATCTGATCTTTAAGCTAGCCTCAATGCGTCGTAAAACCCGTCTTTGATGGTGTCAGAGCTACAGTCGGTTGGGACGTAGGAAGACACAAAAAATAGAAGACGATTAACTTCTCGCTTGTTGAGCATTGCCAGATGACCTGCACGGTGGCGACCATCGATGGGTATCCACGGATCAAGCAAGGATCCTTCCGCCCCTGGACGATACCAAACCCTGCACGTTCTGCCGCAGCAGCCTCTGGATCGCCGGGGGTACGTAGCCGGAAACGAGTGGAGAGTGATTGGGCGGTCAGCTCAACGGGGCTTACATCATTAATTCTTGTTTCTAATGCACAACACATATCAGGGACAAGCGAGTCCACTATGAGGCCAAGAGTAGCTTGTTGTCCCGCTTGCTTCAGAGTGTGCGCAGTAAAAGCAGCCAGATAAACTGGGTGTCGAGGCCTCAAGTTTGATATCAAGCTGCCTGACGCTGTCAGCGCCGGTTGATGCGGAGATGCTCCGGTGAAAATCGATGCAAGCTGAACGGCTTTGTGAATGTTTCCGCTTATCGGCCCCGCTGTATGCAGCAAGTAAGGTGTTGCAGCTAATGACACCACACAACGGCCGATGTGGCATGAGATTATTATTCGCTGTAATTACCGTGGTTGTGAGTTGGAATACTGCCAGGGTGCTCACACTTAGACAGGAGAACGATAAGGGTTCTCAAACAAAGCCTTTGGCTCAAAAGCCTGACGGCAAGACAGTGTTATTCGGCGGAAATTTAGGTGCATTTTTAAAGAACAAGTCACCACGCATGTTCCACCCCCCCCCCAACCTGGAGGACCGGGAGATTGTGTTGGCCGGATCTCTAGCCACTAACAAGCCAAGTATGAGAGGCTCTGCGGGGGTAGCACGGACGTCCCCAGTATAGCCCGTTGTGGCATAGAGGCACATAAACTTTCAAACCACAGTAAGACCCAGTCGCTTCGCGATGCCATACATTTCAACCTTGTTAAACATTTTTAAATAAACCAGAAAGTTGTTGACAAAGTAGCGTCAGCCAATAATCCGCGGACCCATCTCGACCCCACTCCCATCGTTTGTCGATGGCAAATAAGGTCACTACTTGCCGCTCTTTCTAGAATACCCATGTGAACTGTAATCATGCAACTGTCCCCAACAACATCTCGAATCAACAGACGCCGGGTAAAACAGAGCTGGAATCTTGGTAGATTCAGTAGGCCAAAGACACGGAAGAACCAAAAAGCGTTTGAAATACCTTCAGTTCGTTCCAGTTGCTTCCCTGAAAAACTTTCATCAAAGTCACAGTGGCACTGTGGTATCCAGGGAAGCTAAACTCTCCCATAGTTGGACAGAATTCTTCGAGCAGCAATTCATCTGGCCACCGGTGCGCTGGTTTATACCCCTAACGAATTCAAACTCAGAAACACACGAAACACATCATCGCTTTCGGCTGCTTTGTGGTGAACTCCTCAGCCACTGTCTGTATAAATTGTTTGCATTCTTCTGGAAACCACGTGATGCAAATCGATGAGGGCTGGTCTTCAAAAATGGTAGCCACAAAGGAACGTGCATTTCCAGGTGTTTCGGTCTAACTCCCGTTGTAATTTAGCTTCCAATGTTACTGTTCTTTCGACATAACACATGAGAAAGCTAGGCTAGCGAACAACAAGGAGGTTCCGGCTGGATCGCCCACATGTCTGCACTTCGTCAGAGCAATGCCATATGTACAGATGACCCAAAATCCTGGTGTTATTTAATTTCAAATGTACGTTCGATTTTGTCGGCTAGTCAGGTCTTCAATGTCAACCTTCCAGACCGTGGATATCACAGACATAAACGGTTCACATACTTCTGGGTGCCTTCGAATGTAAGGTCCACCCAGGAGGGCCGGGAGATTCACGAAGTAGACATTGCACGTGATTCCAAGTCATCAATAATCGGTTCGTTTTTTCAAAACAGAAAAACTTTAACTGTACGGACTGAACCCACAATTTTTGAAGAAGTAAACTGATCAACAGCGGATTTTTTGCTGAATGCGGTGTCCAATTTGCGAGCCTTTGCATTGTCGAACCAAGTAACTCACTCCATACCTCCATGAAGAGGCAGCTGACACAATTATGCGTCACACGCCACCCCAAACATGCTTTCGATAGTTACGTTCAGAAACATTGACTGTACGACAAGGAACGAAGAGTATTCAACCATGCACCTATATGAGCGTAATAAACCGTAAAAATAAAAACACGAGGGAAAAGGCGTTACCACACAAACTCACCGAAATATACGCTCATCAATACGCCAAACGGATTCACGTCAGAGTTAAAAATATCTGTCGAAACGTCAGCGGAAACGAACTCTAAAAGGTAGGTAAATCCGAAAGAACATTTTGAGCAAATTCCAATGGACCAAAGTAGCTAAAACTCCCTTGGGAGACGGATTAAAAGTTGGTCTCTTCTGAGAGGTGTCGTTTTCTGATTGGAAAAGTTTGCCATAAATACGCAGTCTGGGAAAACTCTAGGCGGCTCAAATCTGTCCTTCCCTTTTTCTACGTCCCATAGTTTGTACTTTCCTCAATAATTCAGATTTGGAGGTCGGGAGTTTCTTTTTTTTGCGCGAGTAGATTTAGTCCGTACTCTCTTGCGAACAACACACTTTATCTAAACCAATAAAGTGCTAACCAAGTTAAACAACCGTGGTACTTGCAGTGTGACTGTGAAAATGCAAGGAAACCTGAATGCTTCTGACTTTCGGTGTCAACAGGAATCCACTCTGATCAGCAATGATTGGATATCGGATATGTCCGTATGCGATGGAAATGAATTGGACTTTCTGCAGTCATCGAGTAGACTTGTGACGATATCATCCTCATAAGGCTGCGCTAATATTGGAACGAAGTGGGTCTCAGGCAGCTCAACCGTCAAGGGAGTGAAATATTTTTCAGCGTTTGCTTCGTGATTCTTTCTCAACCACTAGTGAACTCAATCCAAGCTTCGAAAAGCTAACGAAAAGTGGTCCTAGTATAACGACTGGTGTGCTTCAGTGGTACTTCCCACGAAGCTCTCGCGTGTATTCCTGGTTCGAAAGTGCTGTATCGATGTTTTTAGGTTTAAATCTGTCTCAGGAATTCAGTACTGATTCCCAACATGGATAAGTGATATTTAGACCATTAGCTTAATATGGCTTGACTCCAATACACTACTCACAAGGCTGCTGAAAACTCTGATAACCCACTACCGGTTTTGCTCTTCTTGGGGCTCACCAGGTAGGCGTACTTCCCAAGGTTCCGTCAACCTTACTTTCTAATTGAACCCAAATTGGACTGATGTCGACCAATACAATCATTTACATATCAATCTGGTTTTGACGGTAGACACACCTGTAACCCAGCTGAATCTTTCGCTTACGATTTTTTAGGCAACTGAATGTGCTGCACTAGGTCGTCTCATGTTTTGGGTGGTACAATATTCGAGACATCGTGATACATATGTAGACGTAGTACACTACTCATGAGCTTAAGAACGTCATAAACGAGAGATTCAGCTAGATTTCAGGTGAGCCTCCCATCAAAACCTAATTGGTTTGAAAATGGGTGTATTTTCCTAGTAGCTTGACTCTGTTTTGAGAGACAAGTAGAAGAAACTCGTTTAGTCATTCACGATACGGCCCAAGATACCGTCTCAAAAGACGGATCTTTTTGCAGCCAGGGGTCTACACGTGATTTATATGAGGTCTCCCTTCAACCCAGGGCACCTCCGGAGACTAGGTGCACCATGTTTATCGCTCTTCGAAAACTAAGCCCCACGGTTGACACGGACATTGCCCAGTCCAAAATGGACATCTAGATCTGGGTAGCATGTGAATCGGAGTGGATATTCTCGTGCACTTTGACTCTCATCGTCGGTAAATCAGTAATTAAGCCGCACACTTTACCGACCCCGTTGTCCAAGAATGGTGGTGAGACAAGGTCCGTCATTGTGTCGAAAGATCAATTGAACTTTTTTCAAATTGCCTGCCCAGACGGGC